AATTACAAAGTGGACAGTACAAAAACAAGCACTTGATAAATGGAAGTTAATCACAGCAAAACAAACAAAGAAGGCGCTAGCATTGCAATTTAAATGACAGGATAATGTTAGCATAATCCTCACCATTACCTTTTTATCAATTAAAACTTTCTTCCAGTTACAGACCACGACATTCAAGCCAACGTTTTAACTGGTCTACACTATGGTCCTGATGGTTTGATGGTGGAACTTTGCTCCTGGTACATCATTTTCGTCTAAAGTGACAAGTGGCATTTGATTCATTTTAGCAGTGTTTGTCCGAAACATGTGGGCGGGAGTTGACAGGCGGCGAGGGCGTGTCTTAGTGACGTCATTCAGATAGTTCGCCATTGACACACATGTGGAACGGAGCTTTGGGCCTAGAGCCAACTTTTGGACCATCCTGTAAAGCCCGGGGTGGTATTGCAGCATGTCAGCGCACGTCATTTTTCCATGGATCTATTATAATAACTGGATAGGGTATTACAGCTTGTAGCTGAATAACTCATGTGCTCAGGGGATTCTCGCGGTACTGCAGACTGAACCAGACTGAACCAGACTAAATTCACGTGGGCTACCCAGAAATTTTCCTCATAGAACTCAATGTAAATTAAAACAGCTTGACCTCAGCTGACAGAGAACCTAACAGAGAACCTGACAGAGAACCTACAGCTTTCATAAAGGTTGGATTTTGTGGGGATTTTAGTGTCCCTTGTCATCCTGAACTTTTTTTCTTCTTAAATCCTTCGGTTTTGTTTAAATCCACACTTTAGTGCCACAAACTCTGCTCGTCTGGCTCTCGCTCTAACTCCCGCTCTGATGAACTGCTCTGATTGGTCAGAGCCATAGACTGTATATATTCACGGACAGAGTCACGCCTATCTCCGTCGTTCTAACTAATGGGCCAAAAAATGTTCTCTACTGGGGCTATCCAAAATGGCCGCGAGTGGTCCCGCCCACAAGAAAATGGTGAAAAAACGCATCTGCGCATGCGTCAGCCGGAGCAGCTCCATTCATTTGAACGAGAGGCTTCAAAAATTCACAGCGACTAAACTAGAGTGGACCAAAACTATGGGGTAAGGTTACTGTCAATAAAGACGTGCATGTCTAAAAAAAATGCGTGCATATTTATTGGTATTTGTGCATAATTTATTTTTATGAATTCATGATTAAGATAATACAAACTAAAAAGACATGGAATTTCGTAATTAAGAATAAAAAAATATAAAACTGTATGTGTGATTTTGTACTTGTGAATACGATTTTTTTTGTGTGCTTGCTTTTTCTTTTTGAGAATACGAATTTCAGCAGTGAGCAAACTGTCAATAATACGTCACTTCTCACAGACATTAACAATCGAGCTGCGCAGAGTTGATCATGGCAGAGGGCAACAACATTAACAATTTGGCTCAAAATCAGGTAAATAACTATATTTGATCATTTTGGTCGTAAATAAATGTGTAAGAAATATTAATTCCATAAAATGTGTTCATAAGATGTTTCTTGTCCCTCTCTAGAAACGTTTTTTTAGGCAGTGTTTAGTTAACACTAGCTTCAAGGCTAGTTTTACAGCTTACCATGTTATTTTAAAACCAACATTTTTACATTCTTAGCAGTTACATTTTATGAAGCCTTTGCCCCAAATCAATGTGGTTAAAGTGTTGATACCAGCCCCAACCCTCCAGATTATTCATAGTTCGCGCTGTTACTGCCCCTGAGCAATATGAAGAACACCTCCGTGCTATATTCATCCTTGGTTGTTAGACGTAGCAGACCCTGTCCCTGTGGACCTCAATCTTATATTTGTACATTTGACACATTACTTTTACTCACTAGTTCAGTAAGACTAGTTAGTCTGTTGTTTAGACTAAAATAAATGCATTATTTTCTGTAGAATAAAACAATATAAGGATAAGAAAATAAAACTAGCATTGGAGCTAACAACACTGCCAAAAAACCTTTAGAGGGACAAGAAACATCTTATTATGAACACATTTATGGAATTAATATTTCTTACACATTCATTTACAACCAAAATGATAAAATATAGTTATATACTTGATTTTGAGCCGCTTTGTTTATGTTGTGTCCTTCTGCCATGTTTAGTTTTTAGGCAATGAAGTTGATCAACTCTGTGCAGGCTCGATTGTTAATGTCTGTGAGCAGTGACGTATTATTGACAGTTTGCTCACTGCTGAAATTCGTATTCTCAAAAAGAAAATGCAAGCACACAAAAAAAAATCGCATTCACAAGTACAAAATCACACATAGTTTTATATTTTTTTTATTCTTAATTACGAAATTCCATGTCTTTTTAGTTTGTATTATCTTAATCATGAATTAATAAAATATTTGTATGCACAAATACCAATAAATATGCACGCATTTTTTTTAGACATGCACGTCTTTATTGACAGTAACCTTACCCCATACAAAACACCCCCCTCAGCATTGACACACATGTGGAACGGAGCTTTGGGACAAGAGACAACTTTTGGTCCATCCTGTAAAGACGTTTTTGAGAGGTCTGCTAATGCTATATGTTAGCATTGGCTAATTCTTCTTCTGGGTCCACCCCCACAGGCCCGGGGTGGTATTGCAGCATGTCAGCGCACGTCATTTTGGACACTTTTGAGCCGGTACCCTCCCCCACTGGTCAGAGCGCGGCCAAGCCCCTCTGTGCACGTGCATCAGACCCGGTGTGAGACCCACATGTGCGTGTTTGGCGCAACGCATTATGGGAGATCATCCACTGCACAGAACCGGGAGGACCAGACGATGCCCAAATACAGGCGAGTTTCCCAAAGATCTTTGAGAGTTTCAGGCGACTTCCGCTAATCTTCCAGCCCCCATGCCGTCACAAAGCGCCACTGAGCACAACCGTTCATTTGAATAGGGCGCCATCTTGGATCGCCGGGGCTTGCATTTTGGCCACTTTTGAGCTGGGACCCGCCCACACTGCTCCCACCGTTAGCTTGATAAATTAAGCCATATTTATTAACTTTGAGACTTTCTCAGAGTGAATTTAATGTGGCCATACAGTATCTAAGGTTTCCAACCTGAGAACATTTGGCAAACCTCACCTCTGATGTGTTGTGGATTTTAAAAACTAATTTGTGTTTGTGTACCCAACAGTGGCTTACATTTCCCCTTAAAGGTGTGTATGATTGGTTCTTTTCTTTATACATATTTTGTATATACACAGATTTTCAGTGTTGTGCGTGAACGAGTTGAAAAGAACGCGTTCATTGAACACGCTCATTTTTTTGTGAACGTTGAACTGAACGCAACACATTTTTTAATAAAGAACTTGAACGTGAATTAGTTCATATTATGTGTCAGGAACGGCAGACATCACTATGAACGTTGGGATTTGTTTTCTCTTTTGAAACACAACGAGAGAAAGTTCCTCCCTCCTGTATTTTCTGCACTTTTTCCTGCCAAAAACTAAAAATTCCTACGGTGTTCACCGTCTGTGAACGCAGCCCGACTCCGTGTTGAGCCAGCCGCTGCGGCGCTGTGAGCTATTGCTTTTCTTTGGTTGTTGGACTCACATGTAGAGTTTCGCTTTTCAGCCCGAGCCCGAGCAGGCCCGAGGCCCGACCTGAGTTTGGGCCGGGCTCGGGCCTCATTTGGCGCTCAGCTGTCGGGTTCGTTCCGGGCTCGGGCTTCTTTTTTTAAATATATGTTTCTTTTTTATTATTATTATAATTATTTTTAAATGATTTTTATACATAATTATATACATATATATATTAATAACAATGTCCGTTGATTGACAACAAGTTATTAAAAAAAGTTAATATATTAATGACACCGTAACCAGCGTGTCCTACAGCAGCAGCGAGCCGTGAACGCATCATCCCCGTGTCTCCTGCTGCTGTGGTCAACAGCGAACAGGAACAATAGTAGAAATGGATCAAGTGGAGACAAAACAAATTCAAAACTGGAGACTAAACTTGCAATTGGAAGGTGAGTGCGTACAACGGGAAATCAGATGTGTCGGGTTCTGTCGGGCTCGGGCCTGTTATACAGCGTTCATTGGTCGGGCTTATACGGGCTCGGGCTTAACATTAGCGGGCTCGGGCCGGGTCGGGCTTCATTTTTCAGGCCCGAACAAAACTCTACTCACATGTGCCCGAGTTGTGATGATAACAAAGGGTGAGTTAGCGACACAGGACCACCCGTTTACATTTGACATAAAGTGTACGTACTGCAGCGCATTACTGTTTGTAGCACTTATGAGCAGTGGCAACTCAGTTTTTTCCTCCCAATGTAGATCTTGTCTGTTTTAGAGTCAAAAGGCTCTGTACAGGCGGTGTACAGGATATATACTTATATATTTAATGTGATTTACTAGCTCGTAGTGTGAAAAAAATACTTATTTGAATATCTCACAAAAAAAATAAAATGAACTGAACTTTGAACTAGTTCAGAAAAGCTGTGAACTGGCACAACACTGCAGATTTTATACTCTAGTTGGATGGGACAAAACCCCTGGTAAATGTGTGAAGCAGTTTGAGAGCGCAAGTATTATTTTGTGGAATCAAAAATATAGCACAAGAAAATCATTGTAACCATTTATTCAACAAACAACTAAACAATAAAATAAAACCATATACATGTCATACAGTGCTGTGTGGATAAGCAGGGAGTGTTGCTGAATCCCGTTCTCCAGGACCAGCGACATGGAAGGGTGCAGAGATCAGGGTCCTGGTCTTCCTCTTCTGGCGAGTGAGGCATCATACTGGGCCGTGTCCACTTCATCGTCCATTTGTTGGTTGTGTTTGCACGGCTGGCTGGGGCAATAGATGGCTGCCATGTCACTATGAAAAGATGGTATAAAAAGATTCACATTTGTTAAACGTGTATACATTTTTTTTTTTTATCTCCTTAAGTGAATGGATGTGTAACAGAAGTGACCTGTCTGTGGTTTTGTCAACTTTACACATATCTACATAAGTAATTAAGTGTTTAACTACCTAAAGGTACTCGTGGTCCATTTGCACCTCCTCCAGGGCAGACAGCTCAGCAGAAAGACGGTCTCTCCACTGCACTGCAGAGACGGTTTCCTCCTCCCCCTCTGGCCTGTCCTCTGGCCTGTCCTCTGGGGCCACAACATCTCCAACCCCAAGGCAGATGTTGTGGAGGACAGCACAAGCGGCGATGACCTGAACAAAGCAGCACTTTTAATTACATGGATAAAGACGGTTATGATAAATAAATACTGTATTTTGAAGTAAATTACAGGAAGTTCATAATGTTTGAAAGTTTGAAAACACTTTGAAAACATGGTTGTCACTTACACTTGGTGCAAAGGTGTGGTGTACCTCCAGCGTGTGAAAGAAGATGGCCCGGAACCTTGTCTTCATCATTCCAAAGGCACGCTCAATGATGGAGCGTGCCTTTGGAATGATGAACGTTGAAGCGCCGGGCCGCCACGCCCTGCACCGGCCGCTTGTAGGGAGTGATGAGGGGCAGAGGACGCTGGAGGCAGGGATACCCTCCATCCGCCAAGATGAAGTGCCCTGGAGGATACAGCCCTCTGAGGTACAGAGGGCTGTAGCGGAGGACCCTGGAGTCGTGGACTGACCCAGGCCAGCCCACGTAGATGTCCATTAATGGTCACACAGCGCCTGTAAAATAATGCTTGCAAAGAGTTTACGATTCTGGAAGCATTGACCATCAGGGCCGCCTGGAGGCTTGATCGCGACGTGGCATCCATCTATTGCCCCAGCAGCTCTTGAGAACACCTCATTCCTCGCCAGCCGTACAAACCCCCGGGTCACTGTCTGCAGGTCTTCAGTGTTTGGGAGGTGGATGACTCGGTGGCGTAGTGCCACCACCTCCTCAGTGCCCGGTGGACAATGAAGTGGATGGTAGACCTGGGCATCCCAAAGACCCGGGACACCACCCGGTATGATGCCCCACTAGCCAGCCAGAAGAGGAAGACCAGGACCTCAATCTCTGCACCCCATCCATGGTGCCGGTCCTGGTTCAGGAGGGTCAGCAACACTCCAAACGAGTCCCTGCTCAGCCCAAAATCACCCTGCAGATCCATTAAAAAAACTTTCCAGCACTGGCTCTCTCAGGTTTGTCCTGCAGTGAGGACTTCTATCCTGTTGGAAAAACAAATAAAAAAAGTGAATGTCATTACAGATGATGGCGTAATGACATTCATTAATGGCGTTGATTCATAGGTATTTGCGTTTATTGAGCGTGGGTAGCTCCGGAGTTGCTGGAACTACTTCCGGGTTTTCGCGATCGCTTTTTCTCGCCTTAAAATTGTATTTTAGTTGTGAAAACCTTAACAGGAAATTCTGCAAACCTCCGTGCATGTGTAATAAGAATGTACACGTATAATGGAGCCTCCGATTATCATTTAATGGTGTTTATTCATAGGTATTTGCGTGTCTAGCTCCGGAGTGGCCGGAACTACTTGCGGAGCAATCTACACATCTGAGGTTGCGTTGCCATGGGCATTGTTTTGTGAGGTCCGTTATGAAAAATAATTACATTTTGAAATTACATTCAAATCAATGGAGCATTCTACTGCTGCTGTGAGGAGCCGTGTAATAAAAGTGGTTATTGTTTTGATTTTGGCCCCATCCCAATTCTCCCCCTTGCCCTTAAGTGTGAGTGCAAGTGTGAGTGCAAGTGTGAGTGCAAGTGTGAGTGCAAGTGCCTTCCAGGTGGGGAGTGCACTCACAACATTCTCCCTATGAATTGGGACACTCCTGGATCTAGGGGACAATATGCAAATAAGGCAGCAGACGTGTTCCACGTCACACACATTATCAACGTGTCTGATTTCACCATAAATAGGATCTGACACAGATATGACTTTATGAAACAAAGTATTTATTAAATTTGGACGTTTTTAATTAATTAGGTACAGAACTGCCGCAGATCACGCACCCGGACACACACACACATGTACACACACAGAGGCAGAGACACATGTACACACACACAGAGGCAGAGACACATGTACACACACACAGACGCATGTACATACGCGCACAGACACGGACGTACCACACACAAACAGACACATGTACATACACGTACGCGCACAGAGACGTACCACACACAAACAGAAACATGCACACACACGTACGCGCACAGAGACGTACCAGACAGAGACAGAAAGTGAAACATGCACACACACGTACGCACACAGACGTACCACACAGAGACAGAAAGTGAAACATGCACACACACGTACGCACAGAGACGTACCACACAGAGACAGAAAGTGAAACATGCACACACACGTACGCACAGAGACGTACCACACAGAGACAGAAAGTGAAACATGCACACACACGTACGCGCACAGAGACGTACCACACAGAGACAGACAGGTACAGCCGCGGTCCCACGGGTCATAAAGCAAACTGTGTCAAAGCGATGCTCTGAACTACATTATGGATCTATAATAATAACATGGATCTATAATAATAACATGGATCTATAATAATAACATGGATCTATAATAATAACATGGATCTATAATAATAACATGGATCTATAATAATAACATGGATCCACGTCTCTGAAGCCCCAGTGAACGCCACACGCTGTTGTTGCTTCGGGAGCGAACGTCACCACACACGGCACCAACACACCATGGATCTATTATAATAACTGGATAGGGTATGGCTTACTTACAGCACTTTAGTGCCACAAACTCTGCCTGTCTGGCTCTCGCTCTAACTCCCGCTCTGATGAACTGCTCTGTTTGGTCAGAGCGCGGCTGAGCCCCTCTGTGCACGTGCATGAGACCCAATGTAAGACCCACACACGCGAATTGCCGCAACGCTTCATGGGAGATAGCGCAACGCATCATGGGAGATAGCGCAACGCTTCATGGGAGATAGCGCAACACATCATGGGAGATAGCGCAACGCTTCATGGGAGATAGCGCAACACATCATGGGAGATAGCGCAACGCATCATGGGAGATAGCGCAACGCATCATGGGAGATAGCGCAACGCATCATGAGAGATAGCGCAAAGCATCATGGGAGATAATCCACTGCGCAGAACCGGGAGGACCAGACGATGCCCAAATACAGGCACGTTCTGCCAATATGTCAGCGACCATGCCGGCACAAAGCGCCACGGAGCACAACCATTCATTTGAATCTTGGATCGCCGGGGCTTGCAACACACGCATTAAAAACTCTGAAAGACTCGCACACGCTTCTTAGCTTCCTCCAGTTCCGCGCAAACTTGTGCGGATCCTCCATAATATTTCTTATTTGTAATGGTGGCCGAGTGGATGAGCCACAACACTTGTGTTCCAGCGACCCGGGAGCGAGTCCCGATTGAATATTCTTGTATGTTATTGCAAGATATTACTTTTTATGACAGATTGCTCAAAATCAAGTAAAAGACAATAATCAAGACGTTTTACGCAGATTATAGTTTATTTGTAAAAAGAATAATTTGAGACCACATGTACCTAGATTAAAATAATGTTAGTCTCTATTTGATGTGGAACTTTTACATGTTTGTCTAAAAAATAGGGAATAAATAAAATTGAAAGGTGATATCCTCTGGAGCAAACCCTGATGTTGATATGTTCCAACATCCATTCTTTCCACTCCTATTTTGGACATCAATTTGCTTATTTATTTTGAATAATCAATGTATAATTACACTGCTTTTATTTTGTTTTTCTCAAATGTCCAAATAAAAAATCTCAAATCTCAAATGTCCAAATAAAAAAAATAAAAAAACATTAATTCAACACATTAATTCAACATTAGCACGGCTGTCATGGCAATGTGAATGGAGACAGACAAACAACTAATAAAATAATTCCTTGTGTTTGCTTATGGATTTGGTGTGAATCTGGCAACCTGAGTCAGGGAGAGTGGGAGAGGACTACACAATACTGACTGTGACTGCAGTACCACCTTTGGCCAGATTTGTACATATTCCTCCTTTAATAATCGATTCATCTGTCAATTATTTCTTTGATTAATCGGATAAAAAAAGTGTTGGCAGAGGTAATCTAGCAGCAGATTCGCGTTGTGAACCCAGATAAAGAGACAACGTAACCGAAATATATGGAGGAAATAGAACTCGGGACACACTGCATTCCATTCATTCCATTACGCGCAACCGACGTCAGCTGCGGCGCTGGACAATTTATTAACCACGCCCATTGGTAAACAGGAAAAGAAAACAGAGTTATCGACACATAAATAAAACAGTCTTCTCAACATAAATGCAGGCGTAAACATTCATCATAATAATAATAATTATAGTGGGAGCACAAACTCAACAAAAAGCATTTTTAGTTTCCATCCCGTTATTAATTAAAAAACGTGGCCTTGGATCAACACAAAGAAACATACAAATATATGCTATGCAGTATAAAAGTAAAGTGCACAAAAACAGGTATTGTTGTTTAACCCTAAGAGCAATTACAGACAACACGCGTTTGTGTAATTAAGTCAGTTTTAGGGTAATTGTACGTTGTTGAGTGCATATACTCAAAAACGTTTGAATTTTTTATTTCAAAAGGCTATAACTTAAAAGTGATAAAGACTTTCTGAAAAATAAAAAGTATTAAGGATGGCCAAAAGTTTATGTAAGGAATAAGACAGTGTAGCCATCTAATTAGCATATTATGATGTCATATGGTGTTTGAAATTGTGGATTTTAGAATTTTCATAAAATGTGTCTCCCCTGCTCTCGCTCGTCTCCCCCGCTCTCTCTCGCTTGTCTCCCCTGCTCTCTCTCTCGTCTCCCCCGCTCTCTCTCTCGTCTCCCCCGCACTCTCTCTCTAACAAACACCAGACAAAGGCTTCTCCAACACGTTACTGTCCCGGTGATGGCGGGAGGCACGATAATACATCTGTGGGAGGCACTATTTGCGGAGATTTTAGCGGAGACTATAGAGGCTGGAGTTGCGGCGCAGGCGCCCCGACATGACTTCTAGGTTTGTTCTTCGCAAATCTAACCTGTCTCAGAACCTCCCAATGACAGCCCTGACCCTGAGAAACACTGTTCCCACTGACTCTGTGCAAAGTGTCTAAAGTTAGTGCGCTTCACACTAACTTTCGCGTCGCTATTCTGCACTGGTTCAATGCAGTCTTGCTCCAATATTTTGAATGAATCGTGGCGTGGAGGGTTAATAACTCTCTGCCTCAGCCATGTTTGAAAAACACCGGCTCCGCTCTTATCAATATACCTCCACCATAGACTGTATTAGAAATGACCTCCTTTGCCAAACTCTGCTCTTCTTCTGTGGAGTTTTACGGCAGTGTGCATGCAGTGTTGCGCGACACAACGAATTGATAACCAAATTTGTTGCACTTTTAATAACCGATTTTAATCAATATTGTCGATTTGTTGTTGCAGCCCTAGATTGGTGTGGTTTTTGGTCGTTTTTTAATGCAAAAAAAGTAATCTTTTTTCTCTGTGTGTGTCAAGTGAAGAGCACATCACTGTGCTCCATTTTGATTTTTTTTAACATCCCTTGACAGCTGATGCTTACATAATAATGTGTTTATTGGGAGATGTATAGTCCAAAATGTTAATTACAGTTCCTGATTTTCCAGAAATACAGATTTTTTAAAACAAATCTTAACATTTCTTTTCAGATGACGAAACCAAAAGTCCCAGGAGTTTGCCCCATTTGTGGGTCAATACGGAAACTTTTAAACCGCCACATCAGAACTTACCATGGCGTGGCAAACACCCAGGAGAGGGACATTCTTAACCGGAATACCACCGGCCAGCGGACCAAGCTTGGGGGTGTGTGCCCGGTGAGGGGATGTGAGGCCAGGGTTTTCTACATTCGAAAACATATTATGATAACCCACGGAGAAATGACCGAACAAGAAAAGAAACAAATTCTAAACAAGATGGCCAAAAAGGAGTGCCTGAAGGAATTGGCACAACTGAGGGCATCAAACCCGGACCCCCCGATGGTCTCTCAATCAGACCTTTGCTTGGAGGAAGAGGATGAGTGCGGGCGGCCCGCCTGTGGCGAGTTGGTGGCGGATCTTTGTGCCGAGATCGAAAGTCTGAAGGTAAAATATTTTAGTTTTTTTATGACTGACCTATCTTTCCATAATGTGTATCTGAATTCTTTCTAGAGAGGGAAGTGGCAGAGGGAAGTGGCAGAGCTCCGTGGCGCCGGGGCAGAAGAGGCGGGACCCTCAACCCGCCAGAGGAGGAGGCGGGCACCTCCCAAAACCCCGAGCATCATAGTGAGTTTCACATTGTAATTGCTTAAATTTTTACATTCTACTACTTCTACTACTACTACTACTACTACTACTACTACTACTACTACTACTACTACTACTACTACTACTACTACTAATTCTGTTAAATGCAGATTGACTCATCTGATGAGGAGCAGCAGGACGTGGGGGAGATGAGGTCGGCCGGCAGAGGATGGGAGGAGGAGGATGAAAATTTGGGCCTCTGGTTTCTGCCCCATAAGATAAGCTGTTCTTTATGCAAACAGAGAGGAATGCTTTGACAACCTGGGAGCTTCACATTACAAAGTAGGCATTTTATTATAATCAAGCTCAATAGATAAACACTTCATCACATGAGATGCAATTCCATTTCAAGTAATTACATTAAACTTGTCGTGAAAATTGTTTGCTTTGCTTTTGTTAAGTAGGCCTATATCATAAATGAATGTGTGAAAAGAAATCTTTGCATTACTGTGGCAAGATCCCTGTGAAAAATAGGGAATAGGGCCTTTCACACCAATAGTACAATGGTGGACTGCATGTTTTACACACTATTGTTTCCGAAGGTCTGTACTCACAGGGTTACAGTATATAATCAGCTCCAGATGTTCCAGTTCAAAGGTGTACAAAAGCCTTAAAGTCTTTGGAAATGATGGCATAGTTGTCCATAGATAAATGTCCAGTGTGTGGAATTCTTGACATTCACCTTTTAACCTAAAAAAATAAAAATATTCATTATGTATATGTAATAATTGATGAAACCCCCTGCTGCAGTCACACCACTACTTGGAACCACATCATCTACTGGATCTATGGACAAACTAGAAACTTCTGTCTATCGATTAATCAAATTGCCGCCCCTCCCCGTTCAGCAATTGGTCCCAAATCTAAGCCATCACATTACCCTGAGTTCACACGTTACATTGCAGTTAGAAATTATTTGAGAGCACGCAGCACTATAATTAATACATTTATAAATTAAAGTGAAAGAATAAAAATATGAAACAAAAAAATTACCTTTGAAGAAACTCTAGTATTGATCAGTTACACTGTAAAAAAAAATATATATATTTTTACGGAAAAATACCGGCAGCTGTGGTTGCCAAAACACTACCGTTAAATTACGGTACAACACTACCTTCATTTAACAGTGATACAGTTGATTTCACAGTTAAATGATGTGCTTGTTACAGTATTTAACCGCTAAAAAAAGAATAAAAAAAAAACAATCTTTTTTAGCGGTTGGGTCCCTCATTGGCCTTTGGGTCCAAAGGTTGTGGGTTCGAGCCCACCTTAAGACATACTTCACGACTCCCACTGATGACTGCTGCCGTTGTGTCCTTGGGCAAGACACTTAACCCCACTTTGCCTGAAGCCCCCGCTGAAAGATCTCAGCTCCTGTGGACTCAGCACCTGCAGGAGGATCAGTGAGGGGCTGGTGCTAAGTGTACTGGGTGCAGCTCTGACTGCCACCCCCCCGACCCAGAAATGGATTAAGGGGAAGAAAATGGATGGATGGATGGATTAACTTGAAAACATACATGGAAATTTGTATTTTCTACTGGTTTAACACCATTATTTTAAATGTAACAACTTTGTTTGTTACGGCAAATGACTGAATTAGTTGAGGTACTACCGTTAAAAGAAATGTAGTTGATTGTTACCATGAAAAGTATTAACATTGCAAAAAATGTTATTTTACATGAAAAAATATCAAATTTGCAGTGATGTAAATATCAACTCAAATAAAACAAAATATCAAAGAATAAGAAGCACATTGTGTAAATGTTCATATGTTCACTTTTTAGTGTCCAAACTTCAAAACAAATTTTTTTTGGCCAAGAAAACCTTTTTTTAATAAACAGTTACGTGTACTTTTGTGGGACATGGCTAATCACAAGGTGGCATCAGTCAACATAGAGTGTACTATTTTAAGAGCATCAAAATAAAAATCACCCCTAAAAAGGGAACTGAATAATCGTGCATAATCTTTCGAAATAAAAGTAAATAAATACTTTCTGTATGACTGAACAGAATCGTGTACAACAGGTGTAGCAAAGATGACTACAGAAATTCTTACTGAGCAGAATCTTTTCTCTATCTTCAGACCCCTGGGCTTCACAATTTGATTCGCGATATAAAAACAGGTGTAAAATAAAAATGCACACACTGTACCAGACAATTTATCTTCTAAACTTTAACCAACATAAATGTGGTTTAGGAGATAAGTTGCCTGGTACAGTTTGTAGATGTTCCATCTTTAGCATACATTTTTTTAATTATCTCTCAACATCACTGGAAGGTCCACTCATGGTCAGCAAGGTCAGCGATCAAAGTGAAGACTCTGGGATTGACTGCATACACCTTTTTCTTCGTCTTCCACACTGTTGTGCCTCTCTCAGGATTTATTGAGAAGAAACACCTTTGAGAGAGTGAGAGAAAGATTTACTTCAGATAGGATATCAAATACCTTGCATTTTGAGATATTTTAAAGAGAAAGACATTTTACCTTTGGAGGAACTCCAGTGTAGATCGTAGTTGCACTGAGTAGTGTATGTTGAAGCAGTAGTAACTGGCAAACATCAGGCAAATAGCAGTGTGGTCGTTGACAATCTCTTGGTCAATGCTCAACATAAACATCTCGGCAACGAAGCAGGATGGTCCTAACATGGAATTCAAAATAGACAAAAAATATTGGATGAGTCATACAACTGACAGAACTTATCGTCTGGTACATTATTAGTCAGTGTCTCAAATTGAGCTGCAAGCTACATTTGAATGTTTGTATAGCGATGAAGAATGCTTGCAGGTACTTACCACACACAATGAGGCAGGGTGTTGGTGGCACATTCTCCATCTGAACATCCTCAGCAAGGCTGGTCTTCTCGATGAAATGTAGGAGATGTAATAGGCACCTGTTCTCATCTCTGCCCAAAAGGATTTGTTTGGGATCCACATGTTTGAACATGTCTTTGAAGCACTGAGTTTGTGAGTACGCCGTTCTCATAGGCCCTGTGTGGCAAGCTGTGAACAGATCAGATTCTTTAATTGTACCACTGATTTTTACAATATTGTCATCTGAAACAGACATATCTTTCAGAAGCAAGTTTAGTCAATTCAAAGTATAGGACTGTCCTAAGTATATGTATATTTTGCATTTCTTCAACAATGCTTTGAATGGTAAATACTGGAAGGAGAGACTACATCTCCTTGTAGTCTCATATAAGACATGCATATATTTCTCAGATACAGGTCACTAAAATTTGACCCATCCCCTACAGTGTCTTCTGCATCGGACACACAAGCCGGTTCCTGCATTGTAGCAGTGGAGCTGGCACAGTGTGTATCGATTGAAGCACATATCTCGCTGCTCCTACAGATTCCAGGCATGACTGCTGTGATGGATCATTCACCTACGTCATCGATGCAATTTTGGCGCCCCCTGGCGTTTCTATGCAGAAGTGAAAAAGTGCAACTCCAAAGCAGTTTTTTATTTTTTTTTTTATTTATTAACTTTATTACATTTTAATACAATTACAAGAATGAAAACATAAAAGAAAGAAATAAAACAAAATTATATTCGAAATCTAATATATACGGTTTACAAATACAAATACAGTAGGTGTTAAGGTGGGAGGGGTTGGGGGGGAGGGGGAGAGTAAAAAAAATAAAATAAAATTATTCGGGTTGCGTTTTTTATTGTTTCAGTTCAGCCTTGGTTTGCGGAGTTTCTGTATATGTATGTGAATGTGTATGCAATGCAGGGGTGCATAGGTGCTATGTCGAATGTGGTCAAATGAGTCTATATATTTTACTAAAAAAAAAAAAAAGAAAAAGAAAAAGGGGTTTATATATATACACATCATCATCGCTATCACTATTATCATCGTCATTGCCACAATCATTACCCATTGCTAATTTTATCTTGCTGGGCTTTGGTGAAAAATAATAATAGTAGAATAAATGACAATAATAATAAATCAATAATTAATATTAACAAAAATAAACAAACAAATCATAATAATAATGAAAAGCAGAGCGTGCTGCGAGACGGGCTCACTCAACAGGCCCTGCTTGTCCTCTTGTCAGTCCTGTGACGTGCATTAAAAAAACAAGACATTTGTGGGGCCGATGAGGTGGGAGATACCCCACATCGGGCCCACTTCTTGTCTGCCCTGTTGTTCTCTATTGGCACTTTTCCACAGCACCGGCACTACACCACTCTACACGACACGTCACGACCCGGTCGAGTACGCGTGCTTTTCCACATATCTCCATCGGACATCTTCAAGTGGGTGGGCTTTTCATACCACCGCTACCGTTACGTAATTTCCGCTACCGTTACGCCATTTCCGCGCGACTCACGAGCATGAAACCAGGAAAAACATTACATCCTCAAACAATGGAGGACTCCGAGACAATCGTAGTGTTGCTGCTCTCTCTGTGGCTACTAGTCACAAATAGACTGAAAAGCCTGAGAAGAATCCAGGCGGCGAGACACCAAAGAATGACGAAGTTATTGAAAACCTTGCAGGAGTTTGCAGTTGAGGACAGGAGACAACGAGCTGAAAAAAGACGACGTTTGTGGGTAAGCTAATATTGCTATCGCTAGCTTTGTAGCAGCCGTCCTGAACCAAATGGCTGCTGGCTGTCTCTGTAAATCATTAAAATGTGTATGCTGTATGTGTGTGTTTCAGATGCTTCTCGGGTTGCGTCGCCGCCGCAAGCCATTGGTGTGGGCCTTAAACCGAGCCTCCGAGTGGTGGGATATTGTAGTCCCAAGCTTCAGCAACACGCAGTGGGTGCAGAATTTCCGAATGTCCAAAGAAACGTTTGATTACCTCTGCACAAAGCTGCGCTTGATTATGGAGCGACAAGACACTACTTACCGGGTATGTGTGCCCCTAAAGAAGAGAGTGGCTATCGCACTCTGGAAACTTGCTACTGGCTCTGAGTACCGAAGCATTGGTCACCTTTTTGGAGTCAGTATAACAACGGTGTGCCGCTGTGTGCAAGACTTT